GCTGCTCCATATCCGACTGTAAACCAGGATGTCGTCAAAAAAGACTAGGACCGACTGCCTTAACCTTTCTTTAAAAATTATATTCATTAGTTCTTGGAACGTCGCTGGTGCATTGGTCAACCCAAATGGCATCACCAAAAACTCATAATGTCCCTCATGAGTTCGAAAGGTCATTTTTGGAATATCCAGAGGGGATACCCTAATTTGATGGTATCCAGCCTTCAAGTCTAGCTTTGAAAAAATCGTGACTCCATGCAATTTGCCCAGTAGTTCTTCTACAACTGGGATCAGAAATTTATCCGGTACTGTGGCCTTATTCAGCGCCCTGTAATCCACGCAGAGACGCTATCCCCCATCCTTCTTCTTGACTAACAGGACTGGACTGGAAAATGGACTTGTGCTTGGTCTAATTATACCGGCGGCCAACATCTCACGAACCAACTTCTCAATCTTATTCTTCTAGCTGTAGGGATATCGGTACGACCGTATACTCATTGGAGCCGTTCCTTCCTGTAGCACTATGGAATGATCCTTTCCACGGTGGGGAGTTAACCCCCTTGGTTCTTGAAAAATTCCACCAAACTCCCTCATTACCTGTTCCAGTTCCCCCGGTACATATGGCTGGGAACTGTCTATTTCTATTGACAGACTTCCCAGTTCTAACAGAATTCCTTCTCCACCTCTTCGAAAAGCCTTCATCATTGACTTTAAGCTCACCAATGTTTTGCTAAGACTGGGATCCCCATGTAGCGCGACATTGGTGTCGCCCACTTGGAAGCGCATGGTTAAAGACTTCCAGTCCACAAACATCTTCCCCAACGACGACAACCATTTCATGTCAAGAATCGCATTTGAACTACCCAGTTCTTGAGGAAGGAAATTTTCAGTGATTTCCAAGTTTTGCAGAGATAGAGTTACTCCTTTACATATACCTGCACCTTGCACTACAAAGCCTGTACCCATGATCACGCCATATCCTGAAGTTTCCATCCTAGGCAGCCCCAGTTTCTGAACCAGCTCGGCTGAGATAAAATTATGAGTGGCCCCACAATCAATCAGCACCACCACTTCCTGATTTTCGATTAATCCTTCAACTTTTATAGTTTGTGGAGATGTCAACCCGACCACAGAATTGATTGAAAGTTCCATCACCTCTCTCACTTAGTTCATCTCCATTTTCTGCGAATCTTTTCCCACGTCTTCTATTTCTTCCAGAATTTTCTCATCCAGAATTACCATGACCTGGAGCTCTTTGTTCTGGCATTTATGCCCGATAGAGTATTTTTCATCACATTTAAAGCAAAGCCCCTTCTCATTCTTTGCCTGAAACTCTGCCTCACTCAACCTTTTGAAAGTTGGGCCGGAGGGTTTTTCGGTTGCCACTGCTGGTACTGTCGTCGCTGACGTCGGACGTGGGTGGTGACTTGGGATCGGCTGTATTGGGGGTAAATTTTGGGTAAATCTCGGGGGCTGCAGAGAGGAATTTAGGACCGATTTGCTGGGTGGGTTTGAAATAGTAGGTTGGGTCAAATAATTCATCCCTTTATTTCTTCCTGGACCCGACCCGGCCCGGCCCAATATCGTTGGCCCATATTAATTTTGTCCTGAATCCGTTGGGCCGCCTCCATAATTTCTTCCAGACCTTTGGGCTTTAATACCTTTAATTCAGCTTTGATTTCTGGCTTCAACCATTTGATGAAATGCCCTTCCAGTAGGGCCTCTGATATTTTCGACAGTGGAGCGGCCAAGAGTTCGAACCACTGGCGGTATTTCCTCACCGAGCCATCTTGTCGGAGAACTAGGAATTTTTCCTCACCGGTCTCCCCATGTGCCGATCGAAATCGACTCAATACCAATTTTTTTAGCTGCTCCCAACTTTGGACCTTCATCCTCCTTTGTTGCTATTGATACCAATTGACTCAAGTCATTGTCATCAAGGCCAAATGAGAAATTGGCCCCAAGATTCTATGGACCATACTCGATCGAGAAGAGAATTGGGAAGGTAGCTTATAAATTAACACTTCCCCAAACCTGCCACATTCACCCAGTCTTTCATGTGTCTCAATTACGAAAGGCAGAAGGTCAGTCTCAGGTGGTGTTAGACATTCCAAGCCACTTGAATGATGAAATGGAGATGTTAGTAGAACCAGAGGCTATGCTAGAAGTTCGACCAGGAAAGGGAAAGAACATCAGGAGTCTTGAAGTATTGATTCAATGGAAAGGACTACCTCCCTTAGAAGCAACTTGGGAATCGTTTGAAACTCTTAAAAATTAGTTTCCAGACTTTCTCATTGAGGAAAAGGTGAGTCTCGTGGGGAGGAGTAATGATAAGCCACAGATTTACATTCAGTATAATAGGCGCAAGAAGGATTCAAGGGCAGAAAAGGAAAGGCCAAAAGAAGGAAGTTTCATGCACATGGGTGCAACAAATTTGGTTGAGTAAGCTGTTACAGGTCCAGTAGTATATAAGCAAGAAGAGAAGAGAGAAGGCGTAGGAAAGAAGTAAGAGATTCCAATAGGAGAGCTTGGACCTCTTGAATGTCCAGTTATATTGTTCTTCTTCTTCTTCCCCGGGTACGGTGACCCCTGAATCCATGGTGAATCCTGTCGAAGGGGCCTCATCTAGCCCCTTCTTGTTTCGCTCCTTCTCACGTTCCTCCCAATGACCCATGATGAATTTGAACTGCTTCATCAGTAGGTTCATGTTCTTCTCGATGCCGTGCACTCTGTGAATCTCCGCCTTCATTAAATCCATGCTCGCCTGGACTGTCTCCAATCTCTTCTCCATACTGCGATGATGTTCAATCATCCGGCCCTCCAATTTCCCTACTCGATCTGTTAGCGTCATGACCAGGAACTGCTCTGATACCAAATTGATGTGCTTCCTGCTTAGTAAACTGAATTACAGTGCTAATAAACTTCAAATAACAAGAAAACAATGAAAAATGAAACTCGTAATTGGTATTAAACTGAATGGGAACAACTCATACAATTTATAGAAATACTCAGAAGAAAAAAAAAGAACAATATAACTGGACATTCGAGAGGGCCAAGCTCTCCTATTGGAATCTCCTACTTCATTCCTACGCCTCCCCTCTTCTCTTCTTGCTTATATACCACTGGACTTGTAACAGCTTGCTCAACCGAATCTGTTGCGCCCATGTGCATGAAACTTCCTTCTTTCGGCTTTCCCTTTTCTGCCCTTGAATCCTTTTTGCGCCTATTATACTGAATGTGAATCTGTGGCTTATTAGAGTTCTATTGATGAGCTACGTTGCCGCGAAGACACAATCACCCCAGAATGAGATAGGGACTTGGGACTAGAAGAATAGAGCTCTTGCTACATTAAGTATATGTTGGTGTTTTCTTTCAACAACTGAGTTTTGCTCAGGTCGTTCAACACAAGAAAATTGATGAAACACACCCTTTGACTTAAAGAAATATGTAAAATGCAACTCAGGAGCATTACTAGATCTGAATACTTTAATGATTTTGTGAAACTGTGTTTCAATAAGGCTGAAAAATCTGAGAACGATGGCGTGCACATCAGCCTTTTGTTTTAAGATAAACCCATGTAAATCTTGTGCAATCATCGACTAATGTGAGAAAAAATTTGTGGCCATCTCGTGTTGAAGAGCTATATGGACCCCAAATATTGCAATGAATATGATCAAATGCATTGGGAGATAGATGGTTATTCGAGACAAACGATAACCTTCTTTGCTTAGCAAGTGGACAAATATAACAAGGTGCAGAATCAGTTCTATCATTCTTGAAACGGAACTGATTTCTCAAAGTCTCCAATCTTTTAAAAGACAAATGACCTAGTCTATGAAGCCATACATGAGAGGTCACATTATTCACTACAGAATTATGCACATTTTCAAACGAATTACATTCATTTTTCATCACACTTGTTGCATCAATGATGTAAGGCCATCAACTCTTTTACCCCTGTCAGTCGTCTTCAAGCTGCATAGATCCTGAATATCACAATATTCAGTGAGAAATTTGATGCTTATATTTGATTCTGGTCAGAGAGCTAATAGACAACAGATTGAAATTGAATTGGGGAACAAATAACACATCTTCAAGAACCAATTCAGGAGTAACTTTAACAATTCCAGCAAAGTGTACAGGAATCCTGGAACGATTAGGAAGTGTAATATAGAAATTCTCCACTGCCTTTAGCGTTTGAAATGATGTACGATTGAAGTAAACATGGCTAGTTGCTCCTGAATCTAGCACCCAATATCCAGGAAAATTGAAGATTTGATTAATGAAAATTGAGAAACAAGTACTTGAGACATGGTCAGAATTAGCTCCTTCATTCTCCAATTTTGCAGTCACAAGGTGTGTGTTCAGCATGCTCATTAAATGTTGGTATTGTTCAGGATTCAATGTCTGCATGAAGCTCCCAACATCGCCAGTGGTGGTTTGCTCTGGAATAGAATCAGAAATTTGGTTAGCCACTGCATTGTTTGATTGAAAATTGTAACTTGCCCGATTCCTTGAATTTGTTCCTGTTTAGCTAGTTAAACTTGTTTTCTGCTTTGGCTTGTATCCTGGTGGGTAGCCATGGAGTTTATAACATTTATCAACGACATGGCCTCCAAATCTACAATAAGAACAGATAGGTCCTTCCCTCTTCTGATTTTTGCTATGGGATGGTCCAGCATTCATCATTTTTGTATCATTTTTGGCATAGAAAGCCAAGGAAGCATGACTGTTTATAGCTCTTTGATGTTCCTCTTGGCTGATCAGTGAAAACACCTTATTGAGAGGGGGAATAGGATCCATAAGTAGTAGTTGTCCTCGAACCTGAGCATAAGACTCATTTAATCCCATTAGGAAGGACATGACATATTCCATGTGGTAAAATTCAACTAATTTCTTATTTCCTCCACTTTCACACTTTCCACACGAGCATGAAGGTCTATAGTTGCTAAGTTCCTCCCAAATAGCTTTTAGTTTAGTGAATAGACACTAATAGACATCTGTCATAGTGTGTGATTCATTAATTCACGCTTTAATTGAAAAATTCTTGGACCATTTCTTTGTTGAAAGCGTTCCTTAAGATCAGTCCAGATTTCATGAGCAGATTCATAGTATATTATGCTAGCTGAAATGTCCTTTGATACATAATTAAGGATCCATGAAATAACAATATTGTTATTACGAATCCATGAATTAAGGAGATCCACATTACCTTCGGGTCGACTGATGGATTCATCAATAAATCCCAATTTGTTCTTCACGGATAATGCTATTGTCATAGCACTACTCCAGGAAGTATAGTTCTCACCTGTTAGGGGCTGTGAAACGAGAATGAGACAAGGACTGTCCGAGTGATGAAGATAATACGGACTGGAGCCATCATCAATGGTGGAATGACTCACTGATGAGGACAAATTTTGGTTTGATTGATTCTGATCTGAGATGCCTGCCATAATGAATCAGTCAATCTGTCGAAATCTAATGGCGGAGCTGAGAGCATGTTTGCTCTGATACCATGTTGAGGATTTTGAAAAATGAATTTTCTTATTCAAGTTCGAAATGAGGTATACATGTGCTATAAATAGCAATCCAAAAGTGAGGCGGGAAAGTGGAAAAACCACCTGTAACTAAACTAGCTGTAATTAACAACTCTAACTAACTGCAACTGATTTTAACTAACTAAACTAATGTTTGCCGCCAAGTGCTTCAACTGATCTTAATAGGGAGAATTGGGTTTTTCGTCTTTTTTTTGGCAATTGAAACAAATTCTATCATTTTAATTGATAATGTTCATGAAAAAAAACCAAACAAATAACAAAAGATCAAAAACTTCAATATTTTTCCGATAAAAAATTATACTAATCAAACATATTTAATTGATAATTTTCAATAAAACAAGTTTTAGGCAATTCAATTATCTGAAATTCATTTTCTTTCCACCCAAATTTCATTCTTGCAATCAAATGGACCTTAAATCTTGACTTTAAAAATATAGAAACTAATATCCATATTTCTTCATTTTCAGCTTGATTTATATGGTGTTTGGTGGAGATTAAAATTAGATTTTTAGTAAATTTTGATAGAAGTTTTTGAAATGTGTGGTTGAAAAGTTGTGGGGCTCATGAAAGATGTTAATTAATCTTAATTGTTTCACTTTGATTCAAATTAAAATTTGATTAAAATCTGAGCTAATGAGGGACTTAATGATAGAATGCTGAGATATCGCATTTCGACGAAGGCTGCACAAAATGTTGTTTCCCCCATCTTTTGTCACTTTCTTTTGTAAGTTTTTTTGTCCTAAAAACCTAGTGTCTTGAGTCATTTCATTGGATGATTAAGGGCTCGGTGTTAGCATGTTTCATACTGCATTACTAAAAAAGATCCATTGTTCATGTCCAAATATTCGTCAATAAGATTTTTATGTTCTACAATTGCTCATGCTATATATTCATCACAATTTAGGAATGTAGAGCTCTTTGGCTCTTATTTTTTTTCTATTATTTTTAAATTCATATTTGCTTACAATGTAATATTTTCTCAACTTGTAAAGATGTTGTAGCCAACTCATTGGTCGCCGTGTTTTATAACATATCCGGGTGAATAATGCTATATTACCCAACTGGTTTAATAACACCCGTTATATGACATTATAGTTTCATTAAGCCCCCGTTTGGCTTCCCTTTTTTAAATTAAAATGGTTGGAATAATATTTTTTTGAAGAGTGAATGGTTGAACAAGAAGGTAAAGTTTTCGATTTACGTGTAATATTATTTTATTGAAAATTGTATAATTGAAAATAGGAATGAGAAAAATGAAATTTAATTTAACGGGGGCTAAATATGGTGTTATGGGACTACGTTTAATTAGACCTACCAAGCAGTGTCATATAGATTAGTGTTAGAATACCATTTGTGCTACATAACATTACTCTATCTGGGCTCATACATCTTGCGTTCCATGTTTAGTGAATAGCATGCCATGTCATGCCACGTGGATAGCGTTACATAAAATGTTGGTACAATTCTATGTATTATTAATAGAGGTAGGTGGTAATGATTCTCGTGCTTTATTGTTCGATGCATTAAAATACATCACAACTCTATTGGACAATGTATCAGATGATCCATTGTCGCATGATTCATGATGTATTCTACTAATGATAGATGTCATTACTTAAAATGTTGGAATGGCATGCCATTACTTGACATCTTTTCATTTATTTTATTATCTTTCTTATTCCTAAAAAGTCCAGAAATATATCTTCGTACATCCTTTGATGGTATCACCTATGAATTTTTTCGGATTCAAAGATCTCAATTTCCGCAAAATTTTAAGAAAAATTCAACAAATTGACGGTGTGTTAGCTTGTGCTTCAATATTCCGACCAATCTCATTTCACAACTCTAATTTTCCTCGAAGACAGAGATTTATTCATTTCAAGTAGTTAAGAACATAAAAAAAATTAAAAATTAAAAATTAAAAATAAATAAATTAAAACTAGCGTTACTTCTAATTTGCAGAAGAATTATCCTTATCTAAATCATCTAACGATCTCTATTTTTCCAGAGGGGGTTCCAAAGTAGAAGAGAGGGAATCGAGAAGTTCAGGGAAAAAAAAAAATAAAAAATGAAGAAGAGAATAAGGATCAGCATTCCTTCACTTTATTGCTAATATTTCATGCAATATTTCTAAGCACCCTGTAATATTGTTCAAATCTGTATCGACGTGCAATAGTTCTTGAAAATCGATGGGAACATTGGATTCACAGGTACCATCATCTGTGACAAACAGTTTTCATCAACTTGCAAGAATACCTTGCAACATTCAGGACCAAGCAATTCAGGTTGAAGGCTGTAGCCGGATACCAGAAATTGATTGACACAGTTTGGTACGGTTGAAACATTGGGGATACATCGGAAAACTTGTTGCAGACCAAAGCCGTTAAAACCGGGAAAGCCAGTGGGGAAACCTCCACCAAATTGTTGTGCATAATTTGGTGCAGCCATGGCTGAAATGCATGCAAATATAAGGACAATCGCATGTATGGTTCTGGTGTTAGGCATTTTCTTGAACTGGAAGATAATGGCTGAATATTTCTTTTCTGAGTGTTTGTACCGATCTTGAAACCAAATTTGAGAAATTAGAGATAGACGGGTTAAATATTTATATGGAATGAGAATGGCTTTAATGTCCAATTTGCACACACTCTTTATAACTTTACTGCATTTAAATCACTTAAAGTTTGTAGTAAATAGGAGATGAATACAAATGACAGTTTTGATAACATTAAACTAATAGTTAGTGTAATTGTTTTAATCTCATGCTTGAATAGAAACTGAAATTAGCTATAGAGAAATCAAATGAATCTGCAAAAAGAAGAAATCAGTAGGCGTTATAGGGTTTTTATTTTTTTTCCCCAGAAAATAAAAAATAAAAATCAAACCACTAAGGGCCTGTGTGATTCTCATTAACTTATTTTATGATTTGCTATAAGCTCATTTTTAACTACACATTCACACAATAAAATATTCTACATATACTTTCAATATTTTTTCTACTTTTTATCCATGTATTCTTCTCAAAATACTATTTAAAACTCATTTTCTCTCCAATTAAAAGTAATGAAACAGGCACTAAGCAGGGACGGATTTGGGGAACAAATTTTTTTTTAAAGTTTTTTTTTTCTATTTTTTTTGGGTAAAAAATCAATTTTTTATGTGCAAATTTTTTTTTTCCATGTAACAACCCGATTTGAAATTTTATAGTCCGGTCTTGAATTCAATCCTAAATCCGTCCCTGACACTAAGTAAGAGTACTTATTATTTGTAATGCAAAAAGTAAGAGACTTAGGAGAGAAGTGCAACCTCACTTCAGCTGGAAAATTAAAGAAAATCCTTAACCAGACTAAAAGACTGGGATTACATTGAAAAGAAAAAATCTAGTCTATCCTTCTTGATCTTGTCATGCTCATCGTTGCCATGCATAGTCGTGCGATAATTTCGAGGCTCACTGTCAATTTCAAAGTCATTATCATCCCTGAAACTTCCAAACCTACGTCAATAATTCATCTTTGCTAAGTCTAACTTTCTGTTTATGTATCCATTTGCAGAATCAAATGCGTCTCTCGCACAATCACATGCCGAAGGAAAATGCTATTAGCTTCTTTACTAAGTGTAGCTCAGCCGGAGCAAGTGGAAGAATATTCTAGAGTTTGGATATTCGCCTTCGACTATGAGTATATTGAACGAGAAAGAAGATCAAAAAAGCATGTTGTTGTGGCGTCTATAAATTGAAATTCTCCAATTTTACAAGGTTTTTAGGATTATCACCTAGCGCCATCTAATTCTCGGTGTAAAGTACCAAAATCAGTTACACCTCCTCCAAAATTTGTATGTTTATTTTCGTATTAATAAATAATATTCCACAAGCAGGGTTGTTTAATTAAAAAAAAATAAAGCTCATTTTTGGCCCGTCCCATCTAGTTTTGTCAGTTCGAGTAGTCATTTATCCCCACTGTAATAATTCGTAGCATAATTGAACAAAAATTTTGGGTCAAGAATCCTTATATGAAGTGATGAATTCTAAGATCTTTTGAATGGTTGATTCACCTTGCTTTTTAAACATCGAAAAATGCATTTTCTTGTTCTCCATTGGTTTCAATCCCGATTACAATGGAAGGGGATTATAATTCACAATCTAAATGCCTAATTTTGTAAGTTATCATACCATATATGTGGTTCTAAGTACTATTTTTAGTCATTTTCCATACAAATTTTCATTATTTTCTTCTCCTCTTTTTTCCATAACTCAAATTAGAAGGTTGCAATGAGTTATTTGGGAGTTGTAGGGAGTTAGAAAAGTTATGAATTTAAATTCCATTCAAAACATTCCCTTCTATCCACTTTTGAAATCTTGCAGGACCCATGGCTCGTGTTTTCCAATATCTCCCACCCGCACATTTGACATGAATCACAAGTGACAACAAATATCACATGTCAGATCCTTCTCAAGGTCCATCTGACAAAAAATCATAACGCAAATAGATTGTGCGACCTGCGAGAAATATTAGAGCTGATGGTACTATAAACCTGTTAGAAATATATAGTAACTCTACTAGAGGAACATTACATCTCGCTATACCCGAAATTCATTTTTCAACATTAATTTAAGTATTTTAAATCTCTCAAATATTTATGGAACATACTTGAACCTCACATCATATAATTGGATTCACAATTATGTTGTATACCGTAAATGGTTAAATACAATTATTTGGCCAGTAAATACAAATATAAATATTGGTCAAAATAGTTTTCCTTTCCTACTTGAATCATTCGACTTTAATTCAGTTGCTTTCCTAGACATGTCCCATCAAATTGAATCAATCATAGTCATTTATAGCATACTAAAGTAGCAACACTGAAATAAAATTTCAAGAAACAGTCAACAGTTA